TGCCTCTGCCTCGTTTTCAATCAAACTTGCCTGTTGTTACAATATTCTCCAATGCTTGTTTCCAATGAATGTGCCTGTCGAACTTTCGTATATTCGTCATAAGCTGTCTTCTACAATTTGCTTCAACCAGGACTTCTTCATAATTTGTTTTTCTAGCTCTCCATGGGATACGCAGCATGCGTCTTATGAACCACAACTCTGTCGCTCACAATTGTTCTTTCCAGCTGTTTATTGATTGTCCATGCTTCTCATCTGTATAATAGGATTGGCTCGATGTAACTTTTCAGTACTCTTTTCCTCGTTTCCAGTGACAGATTGATGTTTGTTAGTATCTGTTTCATCTTGTGGAAGGTTGCTTTTGCTTGGCAAATGCGGCTTTTAATTTCGGTGTGACATCTCCCATCTGATGATATAATGGTCCCCAAATATTTAAAATGTTGTACTTGCTTGAGGGTGGTACCATTGATTTTGATATTGCAGCTTGGGGTTGGGGTTGATCTTTGCTCTCGTGTAAAACCTTTGCTGCGAAACATGCGCACTAGGTCGCACCATTACTCCCAACAAAGGGCAACACAGAAGTCTCTATAATATTTATCTATTCTCTATTTGTGGTGGCCGAATTTTGCTATTCAAAAGGCTTTTTAATGGATGGCTGCATCGATCGACATTCGGTTTTCGCCAAAAAATTCTTTTAAATATTCTCCAGATCATGGCGCCCTTGGTTTTTTCAGTTTTGAGATAGTTTTGCTGCAAAAAGCTAAATTTCTTTATTTCGCCGATCGCTTTCGTAGGCCAACGCTTCCTTTTCTGTAATTTTAGAAAATCCGGAAGTGATATTTCGTGAGGCGCATTTTGTTTTGAGAGTATAGATCTAGACCTAATTTTTTGCATCTCTCAAGATTTATTTCCCCATTCCAGTAGAGTGTAAATATAGTAGGCCAATGACTTTTAGCTTATACTAAAGCACCGATCATCCCTTTCATCGAAAGGGGGCCCAGCTAGTAGTATTTATAGTCGAGTATGCGCGGCATATTTACCACCTCTCGCTCTTATTTCATATGCCCCAAAAATTGGGCTCTAAGTTGAACCATGCAACATGTATTAAAACACCAAACATGGACTGGCCTGGGTATACCTGAATGTTCAACGACAGCTTACGATCATAAAGGATTTGGACCTGGGGGGGGGAGGGGGGAGGTGTTGAGGGGATTTGTGGGCAGAGGGAGGTGTTGAAAGGGGGGGAGGTAGGGGGTGGGTGCTATGGGAAGGGTCATTCCATTTCAATATTTGGGTCAGAGATGGCACCTCCAGGTATTTCCGGTAAGATGAACCAGATACAAGCCAGAGTGCTCGGTCTAGGTTTTTGTGATACACGTCTATGACGTAACCTTTGTGTACCGGGTGAACGTACGTCGTGTTCACACCCTCACAGCCAGACCTCACACCCAGACCTCACACCCAGACCTCACCGGGTGAACGTACGTCGTATTCACACCCTCACACCCAGACCTCACCCTCAGACCTCACACCCAGACCTCACACCCAGACCTAACCCCCAGACCTCACCCCCAGACCTCACCGCCAGACCTCACCCCCAGACCTCACCCTCAGACCTCACCCCCAGACCTCACCCTCAAACCTCACCCCCAGACCTCACCCCCAGACCTCACCGCCAGACCTCACCGACAGGTCGGTTCTGTAATCCTATCAAAAGGGCTCATGCCGTCTCGGCCCAGGTATTGACAGGTTAATAGGCTAAGGGAGCTGTGCGTTTAATAATAACAGAGACATCAACACCACCACCACCAACAACAACAACAACAACAGTGACAATAAAAACGGCGGCGATACCAACAACAACAACATCAACAATAACAGCGACAACAACAACGGAGACTCAAGAACAACAACAACAACAACAACAACAACAACAACAACAACAACAACAACAACAACAACAGCGACAACAGCAACAACAACAACAAGTTCACAACCAACTGAGCAACAACAGCAGGATTTTGAAAGGCGAAAAATTGTCTTTGTGGATATTTTATTTTACCATCAACACAAGGATATTTAGAAATGGTGAAATGGAACAGTTGGTTGTGAACTTGTCTAAACACAGGAAGTCGAAACCGGCGTCTGTGGTGTAGCGGTTAGATGTTTCGTCGTCGCGTGCAGGAGACCTGGGTTCAATTTCCGAGTGGTGAGAATTGTTGTACATTACCCCAGGGGGGGGGGGGGATCTGGAACGTTGTATATACCTCTTAGCCCGGGATGGCCTAACGAGCAGGGTCCAAGCCCAAATTCTAAATGAGCTCAACTTTGTTGATAGGGGCGTAAAATACATCAGCATCATAGCAGCAGCAGCAGCAGCAGCAACAGACATCGGCGATTATGGTTCGAAATTCTGTATCTACCCCTGCCTCGTTTGCCTCCATTTTCACCAGTGAACGCTAGATGTTCAAAGGCCCTTGTGCTTATCCAAGTAACATAATAAATAATAAAATACCAACTTTAATTTTTTTAAGGACCTGCTGTTATTGTTTATTTCATTATAAAGTTGTTGTGTATTTAGTTGTAAAGTTGCTGAGTATTGTTTCGTTAAGTTAATGTGTATTTAGTTGTAGAGTTTTTGTGTATTTAGTTGTAAAGTTATTGGGTGTTTCATTGTACAATTATTGTGTTGTGTTGTAAAGTTACTGAGTATTGTTTCGTGAAGTTGTACAAACGAAGGAAGTCCGGTATCAGCACCAGAGGGGGGTCCCCACTTGTCATTCTGGACATATCTTCTCTCTCTCCATGTGACGTGTGACGTCACTGATAAGTGTGCCCCACGTGACCTCGAGTGTTTTGTTCCCACGCTCTGACAAGGCGGGGCAGGG